TATATATCAAAATGAAGCTGAAAGTATGCTGAATCTTTTTGTATTAAGTAAGAAAAGCTGAATACTTAATAGAATTTGAGCTATTGCCTATAGAGTATTCCTATGCTTTAGTTAAAATATTTTGTTAAAGAGCTAGTAACAAAATATAAAACTATACCACTTGGATATAAAATTATATGTAGAACAACTTTACTTAAGCGGCTAAAAGTAGTTTACTTAGTAGAATTTCTAGATATTGCAAGTTCTTCTAAGAAAATTTGGTACAAGTGATCGTTAAAATGAGTTAGTGATTTGCATCTTCATTAAGAAATTTTTAAAAGTGTTAATATTATTTACTATACTATTATTATATGATTTTACAAAAAAGCAAATTGAAATAAATTTTTATGATCTTAAATAACATACTTTTTATTATATAAACTTAAATATATTTAAAATCTTAGTTGAATTAATTATATATATTCATTACTATACAATCTTATTTTTTTATTATATTATTTTATATCAAATCAGATCTTCAAATTTTGTAATCTACTAGTCAAATCTAAAATAAATAAAAGATTAATACAAAAACACTTAGTAATAAAAATTTTATTAAATACATACCTTGAGATGTTGTTATGATTTCTTTAGTATTTATGATTTTGCTAGTATATATATGATCAGGATAAAGCTTTGGTTTTGGATTTAATTTTACTCTATTAGCAATCGCAAATTGTTTTATGATATTACCTTTATCATCAATCTATTCCTTGATAATTAAATAAATTTTACTAATAGTTGGTTGTTTTATTAGATTAATATCTATATATTATTTGGCTAACTTAATATAAAAATTGAGATATTCCTGATATAAATTCTGGTCTTTCTCTATTACAAATCTTTACTGCAAGTTTGTATCAAAATTTTAACTATCAAAAGATCTTTAACTAGTAGAGATTTCTGTTATTATGATTCTTTTTTTTTTCTAACTTGAACGATCTTGCCTGTTATTTATTAAAAGAAATATCATTTGATATATATAAAATATATATCTTAAGATACAAATAGAATACAAATTATATAAGTCCTAAAACTAATCTATAATTAAATTTCTTATTATTGCAATTCTGAACTTACTCAGCTGCTAATTAGTACCTAGATGTGATCTGCTACAGAAGTTATTTTTCTCTCCGCAATAACTCTTCTCGAAGAAGATATTATTCTTGAATTAACAAAGATGACTTCAGACCCTATTAAGATTCTAGGTCCCTTCTAACCTAGTTAATACTAAGCTATAAGTAGTTAATACCTAGTCTCAAGATAGAAAAAAATAAAAATTGTTACTAATCTAAAA